AATCTTTCTTTCTCAGGTGGTGGATATTATCTCAGCATGGAGAACTGTTTGGCCTGAGCTCAGCTGTCACTCACAGCCAGAGGTGGTTCAAGCCATCGCTGAGCTTTTGGCTCTGGTGCCTCAGCTCACAGTTAAATCAGAGCAGTACGAGGTGCGTCGTAACGTTCATGTTGCTCTGTGTTGAGGAGCTAACAGAGCGACACAGGAACTCCACCAGGTTATGTTTTTCTCTGTGGTTCTGTCTGTAAACAGGACTCTCACCAGCTGTTTGTATAACCTCACTGTAGAGTCACATCTCTACATCACTGTGTTTGGTAGCTAAAGTTAGCACATCAATGTAAAGTTGGGTAGAAGCACAAAGTACAGACGTGTGAGGGTCCAGTCCTCAGAGTCCTGCTGTGGTCGGACTTCACAGTAACTAATAAATGGATCAGCGAGTGTGAGCCTCTTTTTAAAAACAGAAGTTTTGGTCATTTGTTGCTCTGGAGGATTCAACACAGTGCAGCAGTGGCCGTCCCAGCAGATGAGTCCTAGACCATGCAGTGCTGCTTGTTGGAAAGCTCTCCTCCTCTCTAACAATGATATGGCAGAACAGCTTAGGTTTGCAAAGTTGCATCTAAACAAACACAAGACCAAAACCAAAAAAGACATATTAGCACAGGACGGCTGATAGGGATGCTTTTGGGTTGCAGCCACAGGACCTGCGCAGCACCTTGCAGTCACTGAGTCAGACACAAACTTCTCTGCTGTGTGAACTTAAGCTTAGTGAAAATCGGTTAATGCAAAATGCCAAAGATCCAGAGCACAGCAGCAACTCTTTCATATACATGAAAGCTAACTCTGGGTTTCGTGTATATTAAGAGCAGCGTCCACCTTCACTGTGTTTAAAGGAAATGTCGTGCAGATCGTGCTTTAGGTCAGTGCAGTGATTTGGCTGAATGAAAGTCTGCAGAAAACATAAGAAAAGGGTTGGAAAACTCTTGATTCTACTGCTGTGTGTGTGTGTGTGTGTGTGTGTGTGTGTGTGTGTGTGTGTGTGTGCATTAAATTCACTTCTTATTTTTTGTCTTTGCTCTTAGAAATTAAAAGAAGAGGTGGTCAGCATTCTGTGGACTTATGCTCTGAGCGAGGTCTGTACATACTGTATCTACACACACAGCTGACATGATGACTCCTACATGCACAAACATGCTGTGATGTCGCATAAGTTTCATCATTTTGTAGGAAACAGAAACATGTGTCTGCACCTTTGTGTTGTAACAGGATCCAGAGGTGTCCAGCTGTGGCTACAGGGCTTTGGCAGACTTTCCTGAAACAGACCACACCATAAACCACCTTCCTGAGGCAGTTAAGAGTCCTGCTCCACTCTCATAACAACATCATAGCAGTTCTGTTGTTGTCTGACTCGTGCTTTCTAACATATTAGCCAGATCATTTTGCAATGTTTCGTTATTAATTGTCCTCAGACGTTAGTCAGATGTAATTATGCGGCACTAGTTAATGAGGAAGCTGTTTCAGTTGTTTTAGCGTGTTCAGAAACATTCCTCTACGCCGCCGTGTGTCAGCTCTCTGTTTGAATCGTCCTGCTCTGCTCTTCTCTTTGGTTGAAGGCCCGACCACCTGCAAAGCTGCCTGAAAACGAAGAAGATGAACAGAGTAAAGAAAAGGAGGAAGAGGAGAAGGATCTCTCCGTCCCAGGCTCATCTTATGTGAAGCTGATGACTCTCACCACCTCGTCTGTTCTTCCAGGTAAACCGGAGCAGCCAACAAACCAACAGGTTGTATCCTGTGGTCCCGACAGAATAAACTGCTTCTAGAGATCCATCCAGGACACGAGAGAGAGCAAGAGGCAGTCGACATCACAAAGCAGACATCCAACAATGAGTCTGGGGACCACAGCGGGACCCGACATAATCCACGTCTACTGTTGGAAGAAGCGTTCGGTGATCAGCGGTCTATAGATATGGGGAATGCTAAAGGCACGAACACAGGACAGAACCATCAAACCACGGCCCGATTACTCGCCTCTCCACAACACAGGAGCTGCTCTGTGAAGCTGTGGAGGCACATGAGCCAGTACACCACTCTGAAAGGCATTAGAGACAACACAAGCTCAGGCTCCTGGTTCGTTGCTATCATGTCATTCTGACAGTATAAAAATACTTGAGACTAGGCAGACCAGCCTGACTCCATGCCCCACTCATGCACACTGACCTGCTTGTTACTGTGCTTCAGTGCACTGATAATATTCATCAGGACCTGTGGAAGACAGTACTGGAGTGTGCAGTGTACAAAGGCAACGTCCCTGCTTCTGTCTGCACAGGCTTCAATCCCCAAAGCCTCATCACTAAGAGGTGATGTCATCAAATGTCATCCTGTAGATGGATGACATCAAGCTGTGTGGGAGGAGTCAGTGAGATCCACCTGGGTATACCAGAGCCAGCAGGATGAAGATCAGTCAGAGCCACATCCTTGCAGATGCTAAAACAGATGCTGAGAAGCCAGATGAATGGTAGAAAGATCCAGATCCTTAGAGCTGTGGTAGGAGGGAGTCTACCACGGCTGCAGACTGTGCAAAGGTGCTACGGACATTTTCCACCACGTAGTAGCAGGATGTAAGATGCAAGCTGGGATAGCATAAACTCAAAGCACAACCAGGAAGCTGTAGTGTATAGAAACAGCCGCGCCACATATGGACTAGAAGCCCCGTCGACCCGGTAGTAGGGCTAAGGGCCGGGGGTGCTTCAGCTTCCAGAGTAGCAGGGACTGGAGAGGTCAAGAACAAAGTGGTCTTAGTGGCAGCAGGAGCGTTAGAGGCTGTAACCCTGAAAGCAGGATCCAGGAGAGTGCAGTCCTGGGACCGCTAAGATACTTTAGGAACACGTGTATGCTACATGATTTTACAACATTTTGTTTAGCACAACTGTTCATAACCATCCACATCACAGCTGTTTGAGCTGTTTGAGCATACCTGCACAGAAACAGACACCAGGTGTTTGGTGTGTTTCCTGCTGGTTCCCTGGAGAGATCGTGGATCTGTCACATCTGCATGTGATCCTGAGTAATGCTGATGATCATGCACTGATGGTGTTTCTTTTATGTTCCCAGCCTTCGAGCTCTTCCTGACGTCACTGGTGAGGCAGGAGATGAGTCAGATGCCACGGGGAATCTACTTCTCAGCCCTGAGGGGGGGTAACCTCCGCTCAGACCGGGGTAAAACGGTGGCAGGAATCCCGTCGTTCATGCTCAAGACCTACGAGAAAAACAAGCAGCCTGGGCTGAAGCCAGGACTAGCAGGTGACCCAGTAACAGCTCATTTAGCTGGTCTCAGTGACATCGACTGTGTGGTGTCGTTGAATGTGACTATGAACATGTCAGCTGCTTTGCCTTTCACATGGGTCAGATCTGTCAGTCAGCATATCAAAGTTATGTTTC